GAAATGTGAATGGAATGCTATTATTTTGATACGATCATTAATTTGAAATAATCAAAATACAATATATATGAAATACATTTGTTGAATCATCAAATTTTGCTTGAAAAAGTAGATTGAATCGTTTGAAATTATTTTATATATAATATAAACTAACAGTAATATTAAGATCAACATTGAAAGGTTACAACTTGAAGTTTTTGATTTCTTTTTAAATTGCATATAATGAGTTATTACATTTTGTACTAAATTATTGGATATCGACAATGTGTGTTATCTATCATATCTATATGCGACATTTATTAATCCTTCCCAAGATTCTGAGAAGCCATGTGTATTTTTTTTTATCTGGAAAGACGATGATTTTATCAAATAACTCGAAGAAAGAGTATTGCATTAGTACATTTGATGCAATAGCTCTTTCTTTTACTGATATGATTCACGAAGTCTCTCACGCGATTTTACAAACCTTAGCATTTATCTTCCTGCCGCGAGTAGTTCAGTAGTTACATGTGACGCAGTATAGGAGAGAAAAGTTCCATTCTCTCATTACATTCATTCAAGATTCAATATTTCCGCTTGGATCATGAAACAACGAATAATGATAAATCGAAAAATTTCGAATAATATTACGAATTAAATTTTTCCTATCGTCGCTTTGACCTTTCACATTCGAAAATATTTTTATCGTAATATTGATAAACAATTACGTCAATTTCTATCTCGTAATATCAAGGCCATCTGTGAATCGATTCAGTTAAATTAATTTTGTCTTACAAACGTTCTTCCAATCTAATAAATATATAATGTTTTCTGATTAAGAGTGATTAAATTGTTTTTGTGACAAAGGAAGATCATAATATTTATCATTTTTTTGTTATTAAAAGAAACGTATATTTCAGAGAAGTCTACGTTTCAAGCGATATTGCGACTGTTCTCGGTAGGAAAAGAAAAGGGTAGAGGAAATCAGTTCTTAAGAAACAGCAAGTTGGAACTGTGCACTCCTCTCGCAATTAGTGATTTACGTAATTTCGCGCACGACCTGCGCGCGGAGCAACTTGCGAGTTGTAGACTGCGTTCCTGAAGAGGAACGCGCTCGCTCGTCTCGATATCTCACCCCCGGCATCCCTCTCCCCGCACAGATTAGAGGCGCGATGGTGATAAGCGCGAGCCAAGTCATGGATGGTTCACGCACGTCGGTACGGTCTTCGTGCACCGACATCCCGCGCCGATGCACCGATTGCATTGTTTTCCGTTATCGCGTCCGATTCGATTGGCAGCTCGTGGCAATCGCAGCCTCTCTCACGCGTTATAGTCTCCCCAGGCACGCATCCAGGACGCTCAATTTCGCGTAATACGGCAGTACACGCACGCACACGTGCACATCGCACGTGCGTGAAGAACGTTCTCGCGCATGTTGCTTTGTCTCTCGCAATTTTCCGTGTAAATTCTCTTGTACATTTTCTCGTGATATTTAATTTTGTAAATAATCTCAATATCTTTGTTTTTTTTTCTCTTTTAGAGAATTAAATACGCATGCATGTATAATTTGTATCGTAGGTGTCTGTGTACGTAAGAGTTCGAATCTCTCGTAAGCAATATAGAATGCACACCGCACCGTAAATTCCTCCTATGCAAATGCATGATTTACTACCGATGTTTATCGTTGCGAGTCCGGTAACAGGGAATAAAACGCTCACTATTAAAAGGAAAGGAAAATATGGACTCTGAATGACACACACATTTCCATATCCGCACGCCGACTCTCTGCAGCTAATGATAATGATGATTAACCAGTAAATGTCATTTAGCTAATAAGAAAGTAATAAAACGTTAATGAAACGTTAATAATTTATTTCTTAATTATTCGAGAACAGAGCATAAAACATTAATGAATGTATTTTCTAATTGCTAGTGTTGCGTAGAGAATTTTTATTCGTAGTTTATTATAAAAAGATACGATAACAAATCTGAACGCATTGATTAATGACTATTTTGATGAAAAACACCTTGGTATTTGTTTTACGATAAAACTTCTATGAGGTTAGCGAATATAATAAACAATTTCTCACATTGTGTCGCAATGTAAATGACTTGGTGCCAATGCACCTGAGCGGATTGAGCAATCGTTATCGCGTGCAACAGCGAAAAGAATGGAAGCTCAGTTTCACAGATCGCTACTTTAACGTCAGTAGGACAATTGATCTCTCACAATTAGCTATAATATTTCGAGGTTTTCATCATGTAATAAAGCAGAGAGCTCATAATCTTTTATAAAAGTTTTTACATTTTCATAAATGTCGTAATTCTAAGACAAATTAATTTTTTTAATTTAAATTATGAAGAAATGCCTATTGTTGTGGTATAAAACATGAGTCATAAGTTGTAAAATTTTACGAGTGTATTTCTGAGTAAACAGAAAGAACAAATGTTTCCATAAAAACATAAGGCACGTGCTTAGGCACGAAAAATAATGGAAAAATAACAGAGAATAATACATGGAAAATAATAGATATTTTAATAGATGAACATTCTTGTAAACAAAAAATACCCATCTAAAAATTTTAAACAAAGTCATTATTTGATACTACAAATAGTACTGCATTTGTATCCTTATTTCAATAACGAAACATTTACGATTTAATGTTTATATGAATATTTCTTCTTTCTTATTAAGGAACACGCTCACGAAATTTTAAATCACACTTACGATTTACTCACTTACATTAATATTTTATATCATATTAATATATATCAATTATTGATTTGTAATTCCATTTAGAGAAAAATTAAGAATACGTTTTCTTGGAAGATCCACCGAAGTCTTGCAGTTATAATCGCGATAATAATCACATTATCCGTTTTTATTACGGTCACCGCATACGCGCTAAACGGACCTTGAATCAAAGAATGACTGTTGCAACGCGCCAATCAACGCCAATAAATGTCACCGGCTGGTGCAACGCAATTAGGAAGGGTGCAGTGGCACGATAAAAAAAATGACTCCGTTGGAATGTAACATTCTGAACGTATAATATTATGAAGATCAAATCGCGACGATGCCGATCTCCGCTTTCCTTCGCCACTTAACGGTTTCTTCGTACCTAAGCTGCTCGACTTGTAAGCGGTTTAAGTTTTCAAGTCCTCCTCGCTGATATTATATATGTATCTTGAAAAGCGTTAAGAATACAATAACGAGTTGAGTAGCATTTAGATACTTCACCGTGCTCCCGGAATACCTCTCAGTCCGTTCTCCAACCGGAAATACAAAAGCTGAAAAGATTCTGGCGTTGCTCCAACATCGTCCGAACTGATGTGGCTCTCCGATTCTGTTTGCGGTGCAGTGGGCAGACAAAAGTTTCGTCGATTATTCCCTCAGCATATCTCGTATCGTTGGATCGTTGATTTTCGTAGGCAAGAACTGTGATTTGAGGTAGAAAACCGGTAATGGGAAGTGTGTCACAAAATGAGAAATCCGTATATCCTCCTCACAGAGTCAGTATAGCGATCTTGGACACAAACACAACGTGATATTTGTCAAATACTATTATTATTTATGAATCGTTTAATAATCACGATTACAGCTATGGTTTCTATGTCCCACATAAAGTGTTCCTTCTCTTTTCCCGATTGTAGATTAAAAATATAACTTAAACGATGCATTAGAGCTCCTTTTAGCTCCACTTCAATAGATATCTCCACTTTATTGATATATGTGATATCGGTTTTTTGAGCTTGAAATTGACGTCATCGCGATTACGTTAGACTGAACTATGATTGAGGGTCAAGATACATAGCGTAAAACAAAATCACAAAAAAAGTCGATATGCAGAGATGAGGATATATGTATACAAGTCGAGAAAAGTGAAGAGATAAGAATAATCTTCAAACGTGACATCGAGACGAGTATCACGTTTGAACAGTAATTCGGTCTAAGAGACCTTCAGGCGCATAACACTCGACTGGGAGAGATGCTCAATTTCGCGATGGTGGCTAATTATAAAGCGCACTCGTATTTCCAAAAGCCTGTCTCCACGATACACGTGTTCTTGATGTCGCGCGGTAAAGAAGAAAAAGGAAAGGAAGTCTCACAGAGTCGTTTGCAATTCCCGCAACGGCGAGAAAATTACCGTTTGCGAAAGGCTAGACCCCATGCATATATTTTTATCTTGACAAAACCTCTCTACCTTCTTTTTCCCTTCAATTCCTTTCTCTGTTGAATGTTTTGTTCTCATTGCTCTTATATTACCGTAATATTAACACCGAATTTACCTCTGTCGACTTATATATTTTTTCCTCGGTTGAGACTATCCATGTTTAAAAATATCGTAGCAGATAAATATTAAATTTCAAAGAACTGCTGCTAACCGGATTTATAATTACAGGTATAGAGGCGATGTAAATGTCGTAGAGAAGTACATGTTGAATATGCGAACAAAATTATACGAGATATATATAAATGACTGCGTGTTATGAATCTCCAGAAGTGATCATTGTCTTGAGCAAGGAAGAGATTCATAAAAGATATCAAGATACTGCGATGATTATATTTAAAGTAAAAACAAAATTGAATAAATTTAAAATAAAATAAGTTTCTAATCGAAATTTTTTTGAATTGCAGGAGCAACAAAGTAAAAAGAAAGAAATTGTGAGTTACCTTAGTTTTGGAAACAGTCGCAGAACAATGGAATATAGTAATAACGGAAATCATCCCGTTATCATACGTAAACCTGCAGAATCTACAATTATGCAAAATAATCATTTTTCCTCGCGGACATCGATAGAATATCACAAACCAGATGAAAGATGCGCGATAACTTAACGAGCAGAAAATTTTATAACTATTTGTTCAATAAACATAGTTTTCATTAACATTATAGTAGCGATTTAATATATCAGTAAATATATTCTTTTCCCTTTGGCCTTATTGGGCAATAAATTGATTTTATTACAGATAGAATTTTTATGGGAAGAAATTTTTATAAAATAAATATACCATAAAACAATATAAATTATGTTAAAACAAAATAATCACAGAAAAACGATTTCATCATTGAGAGAATGAAATTATCTGTTTCCTTAAACATTATGACGTGACTACAATTAAATGTAGAAAGTTATCTGGATAACTTAAATGTTCTGACATCCACTGAAGCGGCGTCTCTAACGGTGGTATAATACCGTGAGTACGCACTGTAACTGTAAAATAAAATCACATAAGTATCAATTTTATTAAACAAATGAAAGCATGTACATGACTTCCAAGAGATATATTGCAACTGTCTTGGAATTGATCTGATTCTTCTTAAAATATCTGATAAAATAAAAATTTAAGAGATACATATTTTTTTAAACAGACAGTTATGATATATCCCTTGTTAGAGAAACTTGTGTAACAGTACCATTTTCTTGATCCGGAAACACTTCATTTAACAAATGCTTTAAAGTCTTTCTTTGGCCTTCTTCATTCATTGGTTTTATGAGTCTTTGTATATATTTATCTTCACTTGTATAACAACGGAAAGGTATATATTTAAATCCCTCTTCAGTATTGGCTTCCATAAGCCTTCCATTTACAGACCAGAACTGATCAAATTTATCATTCATAATGCCATTCCATAATTGGGTATGGTCCTTTTTTTGCATACTAGAAACAATTTGACCTCTATGTTTCAAAACATCAGCTTCTTTTATACAAGACAGAAAATGTGCCTCTACAATTTCCCTAAAATTACATTACAACGTTACAATTATATATCATCTAACTATCAAATAAGTAAACAAATCACCACATCATGCTAATATTACATACAAATTTTTCCTGTTAGCAAAATGATTAGCACTATGATTGGCAGCAGATTATATAAACTCGACAGATTGGCAGCAGATTATAAAAACTTTGGTTATACAGAAAGCCTGATAAATTTTACATGCAACAAACGGACAGTACCTAGCAAGTCTTGAAAATATTTAGTAACAGTGCAGATCCTTAATTTCTTCTGCCAATCTGTCATCAGGTTATACCAGCAGGTTTTGTTTAGTTGTTGCTGCAGTCTGGCTGTCTGAGTTATTACGTACTTGTTTTGACAGTGCATTAGAACATTCTCTGGAAACTTATCAAAATGAACGACAATATTCCAAGGTAATTGAATGTCATTAAAATAAATGTCTAGTAGAACACCAATTGGATAGTGCCATTTTAATGGAATTCCATTAAATTCCAGCCACATCTCATGCTCTTGTTTACTGTCACTTTGTATATGACGTATGAAATGTTTTCGAACCTAAAACAATATTCAATATTATAGATAAAATTAATCAATCAGTTATTCATATATTCATAGAGCTATATATGAATAAATAATAAAATTCTAATATAATAAAATGTGCTGTAAACTTATTACCTTTTCTGTACACAGTGGAAAATAACTTAATCTAGGTACCATCAAGTAAAATGGATCTGGTCCTTGCAAGTCGCAAATTTCTTCAGAGTTGAGAGTAAAACAGACTGGGATCTTTCCGTCCCAGATTTCTCGAAGTACCTCCCGATCATTTGCCATTGAGTTAAAAATACTCAATCTAACACATTTGTAATCAAAATACGACTTGATGACAACACTCAGGAAGTTACTATTAGGTTATGTTTTTGTCATAAAACATAAAATTGAAGAGAATATTCAACGGATGGAAGAAACTCAGATGTGCGCTTGCGCAAAATTATACTCAATGGTTGAGAAGAAACTCAGATGATTCTTGCGCATATATTTCTAACAGTCAATAAGAAACTTTATCGCTTCTCAATAGAGAAAACGTTAAAGTGGGAAAAAGCTTGTAGAAAATTCAATTTTTTTTATAATATAAACGCTTAAATATCCTACACACTGAATGTGAAAATGTTTATAGCGCTGCAAAATGTAACACGGTAGCCAATAAGCTTACAGCTCCTAACATGTTCATTGGTCATCGCGTCGCATTTTGCTACAAGTGTTTTTGGTTTCTGCATCCAGTCAGTTCAGTTCAGTAAAATCCATAATTCAAATAAATGGCGGTATATGGTGTCATGTTCTTGTTTGCATATATCTATATTTATATTACTTGTATATGTAATAATATATTATAATTAAAATTATATATTTTAAAGATATTAACAAATAAATTTCTTTACATTACATGTCAAATTACGTAACGGAAATTTCTGAAACATCGCAAACTAATTAACTTTCTCATGTCGTAACTTTTATTGGAGTCTCTACTAGACACGAATGAAGTTGCCATCTGGCGACAAAAATGGTAAATATATATAAAATTTTCTGACTTCTCTTTTGATAAGCTTTTCTTTTCTGCTATAATAAATAAAAAATAAAGAGTGTAAACTTATTTTTAAATATATAAGTGTTTCAAGTGATACAAAAAAAATTTGAAAAATATTCTAAAAAGTTATAAAATTATTCAGAAATTTTGAAAAATTCTCAGAATAATTTTTATTGGATATTACATTTATATTTTTTGATTATACTACATAACGTATTCGTTGTCGATAATGTAAGAAATTCATCTATCGCTTCAAAAGATATCTTAAAAGCTTCATCACAATATTTGTAATATAATAATATTGTAATATAATAATATAATAATATAATTATAATTTCATTATTTTTAATAACAGTATACCTATTTTTTTCTGCCATTTGGCTGATTTCAGGAAACTTTAGACTTTTATCGATAATAAAATCGTGTCGATAATTACTGATAACACGTTTTTCAGAAATAATTTTATATATTTTAGATATTCAAGTTAAATAGAAAGATAATAATGACATTATGATATTGAAAATTACGATTTCTATGTTTTTTCTTCCACTAATATTTATGTTTTTTTTAATTTTTTTATAGTATATTTTAAATTAATATATTCGATATCATTTTATTCATAAAATTCTTTTTGCAAACATTTTTTATTAGCTTCAAACATAAGGTTTTAACTTTATAAAATTTACAAGTATCTTTATAACATTTTTGTATTTATTACAAAATTGTATTAATTACATTACAAGCAGCTGTAAATAATTATGCAAATAATTTATCATGAAACGAAGAGAATGAACAACACATAAATAATCTTTTTTTTATTTAATTCACGTCATTAAACATGTTCTGCTAGCAGAGAGAAAAACACCTCAGACAACACGTGTATTTATAAAAGACATACCGGGAAAAAATATTACATACATACATGGATGTTTTATATATAATTATAAATAATTGTATATAAAATATGTCAATTTTTTTTATATTTTTATATAATTATATATAATTATATATAATTATGTATGAAACATTTTTCCCAGGATTTCAAAGACTTTATAAAAAGGCATCTAAATATTATTTTTTATAAGACATTTTTGGAGCATATATAAATATTTACATTATCGATTGTAACATTTGTCGATTAAAATATATGACATATAGCCAATCTGATATAATTTATAAAGATATCAGTTAAAATTTGACGCTCCAATGTATGTGGTGTTCTCTAGGTACTTTATTTCATATTACTTTATTTATCAATTGACTCGCCACACATACATATACATACATATAAATTTCTATATACATATGATACATATGTTTTGTTTACATAGAGTACTGGAATATGATTATTGTTAAGAGTCTTACATTATAAAAACTATAACTCTTGAAATTCAATTCTAATAGATAAATTACTGGGCAAGAGTATTATTTCTCACTTCCGTGTGTTTCAAAAATATTTACAGTTTTATAATAAGTCCCTAGTTTAACTTTCATTGTTATTTCCGATTTTAATGACAAATTTGAAAGCGGGAACATCGTTTCCAAGTGATTGATTGAATTGATTATAAGGTTGTCGAGTTGCATTTACAAGTCCAATTATATCTCTAATGAATAGTTTGATTAGTGCAACTATTTCTACACAACTACGGATTGAGCAAATTCTTGTCCAATCTTGAATTGTTTTTATCTGGTCATTTTTCTTGTATTATTAGATTTTAAAATATATTTGGTTTCTCAATATGCGATCGAAAGTTCTCAAATGATATATTAATTATTCTTTATCGTTCAATTAATCGTATTATATTGATTGACTGATTGATGTCTAAAATTCACATGATGTTTTCATTTAATTCATATTTTGTCAATTGATAAAAATAAAATTTATTTGACAAAATACGAGATTTTTGGTATGTTGACAGCTAATTATTCGTTATTTGTTGATCGTCAAGTCCAGTGGCAAATCTTGCTCCATCTCGGTGACGTTCTCATTTTTTACTCTGAGGTCTTGGCCGCATGTGTTATTAGTATCCACGATATTACTCCACATATTTTCTAGCCCATACTGCAAATCTACTGAACCCAATAGATGTCGAAAGAGCGGATTTTGTGTCTTAAGAATTAGATCTGAGAGAATTTTCGTCTTCTGCAAGATGCTGTCATTGCTGTGGACACAACACTTATGCCGGCAGCAACAGTCGACATTGGTATTTTTCAATTCCTCTTTAAGCGGCGTCTGTTCCATTTCCATCTTTAGATCCTCCGCGCGCTTGATTACCGAATGCCTCACTGGATCGCAATTGACTGTATTCTCCTTTTTGCAAGGTGTACTGTTGACGATCGACTCGATGTTTCTATAATCTACCGTAGTGGTCTTGGTAACACTGTACTCCATGGGTTCCTCGGTTTTAATGGGCGTCGATTGCATTCCAATACGCGGCAACGAATCGGACACTCGACCTGGACTCGTATGAGGCGACGATGAAGCTACAGAGCAATCCTTGATAATAGTGCTACCAGCAGAGTACATGGGATTTACTTGAATCCTGTCCGGTATAATATAATTTTCATCGTACATCCTGGGATAAATCTTTATATCCTGCTCGTACGGCTTCGGTGGGGTGACTTGCTCCTGTTCTTTTCGTTGTTCCTGGAGGTTGTACATGTTATTCCACTCGACAAAGTTCCTCTGTTCCTCGAAGCTGTTGCTAGTCTTTGGACTGCAACCCGACATGCTACTCTCGATACTCGAGTCCTTCTTATCCGACTCGGAATGCGCACTGCTGCTCTGCTTGTCAGGCGAATTAGCATCGAATCTTTTCTCCTGAATGTTGCTATCATCAAAGCTCTTCTCCTGCACCTTGTCATTGTTGTTCACATAGTGGCGATAAGTCTTGACGTGCTTTCTTAAAGACGATGGATCGGTGTACCTCTTCGGACAACCCGGAACCTTGCAATAATATGGCTTATCTACGGAATGAGTTCTAGTATGCTTGAATCTATCTGAGGAATTCGAGTAAGCTTTGTTGCAACCCTCGACGGGACAGACGTAAGGACGTTCGCCAGTATGAGAACGTGCATGAATTTTCAAGTTCTCTGCTCTGCTGAAACTCTTGTCGCACTGAAAGCAATGATGCGGCTTCTCATTCGTGTGTGTCCGTACATGGACCAGCATCTTGTACCTGCACGAGAGAAACACAGGGTTCATCAAGAATGCAAAAGTGATTGCTGTCTTACGCGCGCATAATATTACATCCGGAAAAATTTTACCTCGCGTTAAACCCACGCTCGCCTCTTGCGCATCCTTCCCATCCACAATAAAACAGACCCCGCGGACCAGGCGCCGCGTGCAATCTCCCAACATGTCCTGCAAGTTGCTCCAGGGACGTGAACCATCGACCACAATCTTGCCATCTGTAAAAGAAGAATATTACAATTTTAATTCTTTTAACAGGAAGAACGTAACGTCAAGAAATAACTCAATAAATTCTATCCAATTTTTTAGTTGCCACTTTGCACAAATCGGAACTAATCGATCATGATATGTAAATACAGCCGTTTGACGCTCCTCTGAAGTATCGAAATATAATTTGCGTCACAAACGTGAACGTTTGTTGGCTTGTCCAATTGATACCAATTGCATCCATTTTACAATTGCCGCCGTTTGACACTAATTTATTGCAAGAGACAGACTAAAGTTCGGTACTATACTGTGAACGACAACGAATTCTTTCAATTAAGAGACACGGATATGTCCACAGGAGGTCGTGGATCAAGGTAATTCTGAACGATTTAATTGGCCAAACACTCGGCTCTTGTCTTCAATTATTTCACTCACGAGTAGCAGTAATTATACAAATTACAATGTAGCTTCGAAATATATAATGTTAAAGATATTCTAAATTAATCTTGCGTTATTTAATATGGTTTCAAAAATAATGTATTATATAAGATGACTCTGATTACTGTGTTTTCCATTAAAATAAATAAATTGCATACATTAGTAAAAAAAAAGCTATATATATACATACATACATATGATTGATAAAATAAGCAAATGCCTTGATAGAAAGAATGATATTCTCTGCGATCACAGCGAGTGCTCTGGCTTTCACGTGCACACCGAGTGAAGCAAATTATTTCTTTGTGATAATCAAAGTTCTCCAAAACTTCAATAATAAGATTTCCTCTTTACTACTTTACTACTTTTTATTTGCGCATGATAACTGACGCAATAATGTTGGAATTCGGCATATTATGCATATAAACAAATTAATTAATTGTAACGGAAATTTTTTTTAAACACGTACCATACAGCAGTCAATGATTCATCGCTTTAAGTTAACAGTTTCCTTCTTTCGCTCGTTTTTCGAAGGCAATTGCTATCGTTTCGCCTTGTGCCGAGTCTAAATTTTATCGGGAGTGCGTAGACTTTGAATATAAACTAAGCCGGTTGCAAACCTGTTTACCATTAGAGATATTGATCCTCTTCCTCTCGGGATAAGCTGTCCCCAGAGAGAGGGAGGGAGAGAGAGAGAGAGAGAGAGAGAGAGAGAGAGAGAGAGCATTGGATAGATCTGCGAATTCTGCTAAAACACGCAAGGAAGAAAATGAGTCCGCCAGTCGAGCTCTTAATCTCGGATGTTCCAAGACGGTAAATGCACTTGTCAAGATGAATTACAAATTTTTCTTCGAGTATCCTCAAGCAATAAAGACCTCCACGATATCAGCCGAGATAACTGGCCGTAACTGATATGTAACTAGTAACGTGTAAACACGTTTATGGACATATTTACATATATTGAGAAAGATTAGCACCATTTAAGAAGAACACAATGTAAAGTGAAACAAGATAACGACATTTGATCATCTCGATTGTATTATTTGTGGTAAATCTTTGATAGTAAAACCGTGATGAAACGTGCATTACTTTGTTAATTCACTTTACAATAGATTTATCAGATAAAGTCATGTGTCGTTAGAAAAGCACGTTAAACAATGTTAAAGTACAAAGGTGAGAAAGAGATAAGATAACAGGTAGAAAAAATGCGAGCACGGATTAAGATAAAATAATTGATTTGGATAAATTTGAACAGAAGGAAAGAATGGATAAATAGAAAACTTGATAGAATTACATTGCGTGTTTTGCGATAAGACAAGACGACGTCAATCAGGATTCGAATATACCGATATAAGAAATCTGTGTTGTATTTAGATAACGCAATATATCTTGAGAAGCAGAAGTGGGAACCTATCTGTACCATCCTTTCTAAATCGTAAACAAGTGCTAAACTAATAACTGAATTTTATACATACGATTTGACTGAAAGCAGAAGTATTTTAAGACAGTTTTGTAGTGTCGTTTAATGAAAATACTGAATTTTTTCAAATAACGCATTTTTCTTACTCTTATCTTAATTGATTTTTTATCAACAATAATATTGAACGCAGTGCATTCATTAAACTTCAATACCCAGAGTCAATCAGCGATCTATGACTTCTCGGAGATATTTATAATAAAAATATATAATTCTTATCTACGTAAATATGTATTTGATATACATATATGTATAATTTATAACATATATTCATAATATATATAAATGACATATATATTTAAATTATTATATTTAATAATTCTTTAATAATTTTCATTTCGCGATTTTTATATTTGTCCCATTACGTAAGTATTGTACAAGTAATGTAAATTTTTAACATTTCTTTTTTCTTACCTGCATTTTAATTGGGCGTTTTCGCCGGTCCTGATAGTACCCAGTTCCAAACTCGAGCTGGACGCATCCGAGTCGCTGTGCGCCGGACTCGGAGGACCGCCGGTGCTCGGAGACACCCCCAGTCCGGTCAAACCGGCGGCCGGCGAGGCACCTAGTTCCTCCTCGGCCGGCATCCTCCGCGGCCAAACCGGAAGGTCCAGCGGTGGCTGAAAGCTCCCGTAGTAGCTCGAGACCGGGCCGGTGGAGTAGCCGGAAACCGGGCTGTAAAAACCCGGGACAGCTCCTAGCAGGGTGCCCGGGTAACGAGCGGCGCCGTAGGGACCAACGTGAGTTGGCATTCTGCCCGGAACATAAACGATCATTTTTTTCATTTTTTTCGCCCCCGACTTCAACCAATTCGCCAATTTCACCAAAGACGTGCAGATTTTGCTCGATCGTCGTTTTAATTAATGACTGTTTAATTCGCGTTTTATGCAGACGTGTATTGTATACGTGAATGTACACGTATAGTCGCGTTCGATGCGTCTCTCTCAAAGAATTTCCGAATGATTTCGTTTTCTATTTATTTAACTTTAATTTTGTCGCTCTTTCTTTATCTTTGCTTTAACGATCTTTCACAAGCTGACATACATACATAAGCGTATTTTTTTTAGCGCTGTCGTTAGATAAAATCTGTCTGTTCCTCAAAGGGAGTCTCAGAACTTTTTTGTCTCGCTAGTGACAAATATTCAATTTCCTTTTTAACAATCCTTTCAATAACGAAATCATTAACTGTCACAGTCTTTCATGGCTTGCCACAATTTTATAATCTTGATTGTCAATCTTTTGCCCGAAACTTCTTTTATTAATAAAATAATTTCTCGTTACCAATCAGATTTTCTCCGCTATATCGATTTTTTCGCAAAATTATTCCAAAAATTATATCTTCTTTTTGATTAAAAATATCCTCGATGACGAAATTGTCAATTGTCATTACCAATTCAATTTGTTTTACAATTATCTTTTTTTTTCCAAGTTCTATGCTCCTTGCCTTCGAAAGATTCGCCTCACTAGCGATTTTCGATGACGTCAGTTTCCTGTCGCGTCGTTCCCGTCCGACGTATTTCTTTAATTAAGCTCGCGTCGTCGTGCAAAACGATTCGGCCATTGGATTTTAGCACAAGACTTTCCAGGTCTTGTTGGGGCACCCTCGTCTCTGCTTTCGTGAACACCGTAGGTACGACAAGTCGCCCGCAGTACAATACACACACACACCACCTTGCGCACACCCTCTACCACGTAGTCCGAGTCCGTATCGTCAAATGTATTTGAACCGATTGGACTTGAGTATACGGTAGCTCAGGAATTGCTTGCTGTACTTGATCGAGAGCATAACTGGGCTGGACGATCACGGTGAACGAATTATAAAACACTGCCGTCACACTTCCGGAAACAGTTTTCGTAACTTTGAGTTCGTCTAATAACGGTTGAAAATATCTCAAGTTCAATTTATTAGTTCGATTTATTTAGAAGATAAATGCGCAACTTAATCGATAGTTATTGCGGAAACGGTTCAATCAATGCTAAGAGAATCCCATCTTTTTTGGTTGCGTGTTGCTGCCACGCTTTCTAACGGTGGAGATGATGCGTCGAAGAGGAAGAGGAAGAAGACGTAAAAATCGCAATTAGAGTTCGAGGATGAAACACGATGAATTTTTGCTGATTGAACTGTAGTAGTGAATGAACGCTGCGTCCAGATTAACTCCTTTATAAGCACGCGGAAAAATCTATGGTTATTTATTTACCGTATAACTTCTTTTTTTCTTAATTATCTCAAATGTTCGAAATGAAAGTACGATGTGATCAGAATTGTACAACTCTAGAGCAAAACATAAACGTGAGAGAATATCAAACTGATGGCAGAGACGAATGTGCAAGCTTATATATTGTCGCGCTATCGCTTTATTGCCCCTCCATGAGATTCACTAGCACAGAAGAGAGAAGACTGATAACAGTTTGTCGCGTATTCGCCAGTCGTAACAGTCGTCTTGCAAACGAGTATCAAATCAAGTCACTTCAATGTGAAACTAATTGAACAGTGATTTGTTACAAAATATATTTAGTCAAGAATATAGATATTACAAGATGATAAGAATTATTTTAGTATTATGAAAACTAATAGTGCCTATAACTAATAACTTTCTCAGCACTAATTTTTAAAAATATGTGTGTACGAATGTTGTAGGAAAATATCATAAATGTCGAAAACAATAAAAATATATTGTTAGTAAATCACATCAAAGTTTTGAATTATACTTTATATGAGCAAAACCTGTAAATCTTTCTTTCTCTCTCCTCCTCCCCTCCCCCCTTTCTCTCTCCTTTCCGTTTCGTAAACATCTTATTAAGGCAATGAAAATAGAGACATAAGATCCATGAGAAAAAAGAGGCTAGACAGATTTATCTCGTCAAGCTTCAATAAGATAAGGTCGCTGGTACCCCCCGCATCGCACGATCAACCAAAATTGACTTGGCCCCTATCGTTGATTTTGCCTCATGCGACTTGCTGCTGATCGTTGCGGGTGGGAACAAAGTCCATGCGTTTCACAACATGGCGATGTATTATCTGCCGTATTAACGGTTCGGTGTGAATGGGCTGCAAGCTGAATCAACAGACATCGCCATCGTTGACCCGGTAATTTCTTCCCAGCGGCAAAGAATCACGCGCTCGTGAAAATGACGACAGCGACCCTGAACGACGGCTGCCGGAGGCAACCTTCGGTCCAGGGGGGCCTTCGTCATCAGGAAGTGACCGCTTGTCATCGTTTGGAAAGGCGATCCGATGAAGGTTGCCGCAGTCTTGTCAGAGAACACGTTTCTGGCCCGATGACGTAATTGATAACGACGGAGAAGCAATTATTTGCGTCTTCGTGCGCCGCAATGAAAAAAGGAATGATTAAAGCATCGACGAGATGATCGATAGAGATATTGGAGAGTGGATAAAGAACAATTTTAAACGACATCTAACCGTAGGCGTGAGCTTTGATAATTGGACGAGCACGCGCCGATGATGATCGCGATGATCTTCGTCCGGGTGCGACATGACCTCAGAGAAATCAACAGGATTGTTTAGCAACGCGATACCGCTCGGTAGTTATATTCAGTCTGAGTTGTACTCTCAATTACGCCGCCTATATGCGAGATTCCTGACTCATGGAACGGAGTCCAACATATATAGAATTGCGATGTAGAAAAAGAGGAATCGACGTATCCGCTATCATCCAGTTGCGACGTGTTTCACGTCGTCACGGTCTAGAGTATCGCGCAGCAGAGGAAAAATTTTGTGTTATATAATCCGATCTGTCACGAATCATCATTTGTTGCGACGACATTTGCACTGAGCAATCACGCGATTGGTGATTATTGGTTAAACTTTTGCTAACATCGACCAATTCTACACTTTATCTAAATATTCAGAATTAACAAGATAATTAAAGGAGGGGAGCGACGACGTTTCCTTTGACCGACTAATCTCTTGAAGGCGCGAATTTATTATTGGGACAACTGATCAAGGTGATATTATTTTCATTCTCGGCGGCATATTAGAATCATTTAACACAGTGGGATTTCAACTTCCCGAATGTTATTTGTAAATGTTATTTATGTTCCTCTTCGAACGTGTCACGTCGCTTCTCAGGAATATATCGCGATATGAAGTTCTATATCATTCTATATCGTTCAATGTCATTCTACTATATTTAGAAAATAATGAGCGCTTCATTTTCGCTTTATTTCATTTGTTTGCCGCGCTATATCGCACTAGGACTATAAACGCATACGTAAATCATTAACGGCGCCATTAATCGAGATGCTTAACTCCCCGTTGTAAATTGTAATGCCAAAAGCGATTTATAAAGGAAACTTCGTTTCCAAGTGGAAAATACGCTTCTCGTAGACATAACAGATGTCGTAAACGCACACCACGCGCATGAGATAATGGGTCCATTCTCCACGGATGAAAAGTCAGACAAGCCTCGTCCCGTTTTCCATCTCGTAGAGAATGATCGCGTCGATCGACTGGCCGATGCATCGCGAACAAAACCCGGGAAAACTCGTCGACTTTCTTCGATCATAAAGGAAAGATGGATCCGATGATGCGTGAGAAATTCTCCCTTCACCATCGCGCGCTATGTAAGCCATGGCTTTGTTTGGCTGTCGATCGTCTAATTTATAACGTGATCGCGACGAGGTGTCATTAACAATCGAATTTTTTCTTTTTTTCTATTTACTCCTGTTTCTTCTTTTCTTTTTTTTTTTTCATTTAATTATAGCTCTGTAATTTAAAGGATTAATTTAAAGGAAATTTTTAAAACGAAATACTTTTTTTTTCTTGAATCATCACAATGCGAAATGCCGTCTGGCGACGTTTCTTCGCCGGGGTGTTAATTGAACGGCAATCTAATCTCGTCGCGACTCGCAACGTCTGGAAATTCGAAGTAAACAAGTTCAAGCTTATCGGAATCAAGATCCACCTGTTGCTATCAGCGTGAGCAGTTTTTAATTTCGAAGAAAGTTATTCATGTCTTGCTGTACCATGATTGAAGAAGATACAAGATCTAATTGCTTGTATTCTCCGTCATACTTGTATGCTATAAATTTGCTCGTAATGCAAGCAATCTTTTTTTTTTTTCAAGAAAGACGAAGGAGTGGGTCTGTAAAAGCGCGAGGATACGTGAGAGTATGCACACATTCGCATTATCGGCGCTGACTTGGCGATAACACCACTGAGGGGGTCTCTCTTCTTACATTAACTACGTCTGATAACCGAATAAACACAAAATTAATGACATCCATCCATTACTTTAATATCGCGGTTTAATATCGCGTATTTACCATTATTTATTACTGCTTTTCATATCTTGCAGAAATATTTTTCTATCAAAATTTAATATATCTCATATATATTTCAAAAAATGAATATTTTGAAATAATTTAAGAATAAAGAAGCACAGTTAATTAGATTCTCTAAAAACTTCTACTATATTTTTGAAGAAAATGAATTGACCATTAACTCGATTGAAATAATTAGACGATTCGTTTGACAAGGCAAAAGATAAAGTCATATAATCTTTCTCGACGACAAGCTAGATGCCAGACGGTCGATAGCCGTTGAAAAAAATGCAGGATTGACCATGGAACACGAACGCTATTGTCCCGCGATCTTAACTTCAAAAATGATCCTCACCGCAACGTTATGTTCGTCCTGAACGATCGTATCGTATCATCTATATCTCGGATACATTTTATAAATTTTATAGCGTGTCACTTACAATCTTAGTCAGACTAGCGAAGAGTTGGCGGACAGAACTGTTATACATACTGTAAGAAATATTTGTTTGAACAAAATGATATCGCAAAGACAGATAATTTTTTATGTTAAGTCGTTTATAATATATCTCTTGCTTTCGCGCATAAATCATCGTTCAAGAATCGACCTCATTTCCCGAGGGACTTTTAGCTCTTTTACGTGATGTCGTTATGGGGTCAGGCAATGGAAATCCCTCCTTTTTCTTTCCCGATCGATTTCACAGGCAACGCTATGATTTATATTGGTACGCCGGCGATGCTCAATTCTCGATTCATTCTCTAGACTCTAGAGAAATACCCCCAGCGACCTTACCTCGGCACATTAATGAATATTGTATGGCCACCTTTTCTTGGGTGCCCTATCGAGCCCTCCCCTCCTGACCCTTTCTGCAACCGCTGGTTCCCACCCTTCATCTCGGATGACACCCCACGGATCGGGCTGCTGGTGTCGGCGTGCTTTGATCTCGGGGGAACGCGGCAAACAGGTAGAAGAAATCGAGAGGAGGACGATGAGAGCGAAAAGGCGACGGAGAGAGAGAAATAGAGGCGGAAGAGGGAAGGGAAAGAAGGAAGGATCCCGACGGACGTAGATTCCACGACGGCCAATGGAGGAGTCGGGCCTGACTCTAAACTCGAGAAAATATGTTCGGAGTCTTTAGATTGAGATCCGGGAGAGATAGCCCTACAACCTACTCCCCCTCCGTTCTCTTTCCTCCGCCTCCCACTATCTTCGCCTTCGCTACTTATGATGCGCCCAAGGAAGGCCGAAAGAGATTTTATTTCTCCTCACCTCTCCCCCGCAGATCTTTCATTTAGATTTAATTCCCGTGCTTTCCCTTGAGGATACCATCGGGTCTCGAGATCTCTTAGAGTCATTCCCGGCTTACCAGTGAGACGACCATTTCGGTAGCTGTTACGTCCTTTGGAGCCTGTTTACGACGGTTGTGAAAAATTGAACCGCCTCTTGCCGGTACAAGCTCTCCTCTCAGTGGCGGTTTCATGCTTAACGCCGCCGCAGCCAATAATTTACTTTCGACATTCCGAATGCCTCTTTAATTAAAGTTACGTCGCAGGCACGCGGTAGTAAAATTTGGCAGTACAAGCGCATCTCGTTGAATTTTCTTAATTAATTAATTTTCTTAAGAAGACGTTGTGGCGCGTTTGAGTTTAATTAGTAAAAATTAAAAGCAGATATGTGGTTTCTCCTTTCTGTTAACTTCGATATAGAATATTGATGAGATGAAACGGCCCGCTAACCTCGCCAGTATAGTTCTTCCTATTGAATTCATTCATTAACCTTAGAGCTTCCCATCTCGATGGGAAGAAAGCCCTACGGGAAGCCCGTTTCGAGGGAGAAGCCTTGAAGAGAAAATTGGATCGCCCCATGCTCAGCGAGAGACCACTTTCAGTCGCGACGAGGTGGGAAACCGAGGTATATAGATCGCGTGGCGCTTTGCGTGTGGTTCGCGTCACAAAAATATGTCGAAGGGAAGGAAGGAAGGGGGTGCGCAATCTCCCCGTGACACAGCCGCCTTGGCACCACCGTGGCTCACACAGCGGGGGCTGAAATTCCCGCGGTCCATGAAGCCAGCCGCCGCCGAGTCGCGCTCGCTGTACTTTTTATTTAGTTGCACTGTCGGGGAGGGGGTGCTGGGGGGATCTCTCTGTGTCGAGAGAGAGAGAGAGAGACTTTGCCTTTTTTTTTATCTTCCTGCACTCTTTCGAAATCCCGCTGGTGACGTGAAGCCGTATAACCGCGCGAGTTTCTTGAGTGCCGTGAGAGAAATATAGAAGAGAGTCTCGGATTAGTTCTTTGTGGAGAGACTGCTTCAAAATTCTGAAGCA